CCTACACATAGTGGAATGAATTAAAAAGCGTGTTTCAGGGGACGAATGCCTATTTTAAGATCTTAGAAGTTTCACCTACACAGGAAAATCCTACAGTTACAAAGACCCCATAGCAGCACAGGAGTGGTAGTGATGTCTTCATCTTTGAACTAAAAATAAAACCAGACCATTTGTGGTCTGTCTTAGTCCCCTTACAAGTCTAACTACTGGCTATATTAACAGGATCCAGTCTGAAGCATGGTTAGCCTGTGCTTAACTGCAGTGAGGAAGCAAATTGTTGCTAATCGAGCACTTTGAAAAGCAGGGAGTTAGGGCAACATCTTTTGGACCAATATCCTGGTAATGTGTAGCACTATTTGCAGCTTGCTTGAAGACTCCAAAACATATTCCTGAATGTACACAAAAGCTGGTTCCCACACAATTTTTTAGGAGTGTTGCCATTGATTGTAGAGGGAGGCTATTCAATGATGCAAACTTTTAGAAACATTTGCACAAAATTATCTCCCTTACGATGATTTTTTGTTTTAATATTAGATAACAGCTTGCACATTTATGCTTTATTAACTATTTCATATGTTCAGTTGAGTTATATTTCAATCTGCCAAAGGCATCAGCGCTGGCAGTCACCTTTGCCAGTCAGTCACCTTTCGTGCATCATTTTTTAATTGGCTTTTTGGCAAACCTGGTTAAAGAGAACCTTGGATTCAGAAATGTTAAATGAAATCTCTGTTTAGAACCTTTCCAAATGCTGCTCAGCACATTGAGATACGCATTTTGCCGTGCTGCATTTCAGCTCTGCAAGTGTAAGGTTGGCTGACTGCATAGGACACAATCCTATAAATCCATGGGCACGGTCTAGAAAATACTGAGCAGCCCCAACACCCTTTAAAAGACAGCCAGAGGTGAGTGATGTGCTATCTTGGATTGGATTCTCAAAGCACTGATGTGATACTTTAAGCCCAAAGCTATATTTGCCTTAAGGCAGATTCTAGTTTATTCACACATTCAACCTCAGCACTATTAGGCCAGACTAAATACTAACTTTTATTGTTTGTTGTTATGGGAAAAAGCAGCCTCAGACAGGTTTTAAGCATGTGCTTAGCACTTTGCAGAGTTCATCATAATAAAATGTACCTCAGTAAAGATAACAGGATGCAATTATTTCCTCCTATCTTCCACATTAAAAGAGTATAAAGACACCTGCTAAGTCAGGTATTCAAATGCTAAGAAATGCATTGTTCATTGCATTAACACTTTGAATGATGGCTGCCCTTACATGATTTCCTCTCTCTGCATATGCACTATCTTTAACGACATGGTCATGTATTATTTTTTCCTGTACAGGATTACACTACCTCACTTAGCAGCGACAAACTCTGGGAAGCTAAATGCAAAGTTCCTATTCAGGGTCTGGTGTGTTTGTGTGTTTCAGCGGGCATTTGTTTCCCGATTCAAAATCTTTCATCTTCATTTTTTTGTAGACTGTTCTGTGCTGTGATGTCCACTTAACCACTGCAGAAGGAGATGAATGTAATTGTGTATAAAAATTGTTTATGCTTACATAACTTGTGACACGCTTTGAATTTTGACAGGATAAAAAGGGCTACGTGGATATATTGGGATGCTGGTTGTGAACTACAAGGGTAAATCATTAATACGTTTCTATTCTAATTCGTTATGTTCAGTCACTCTCAGCTTTCTTAGTCTTTCACCTGCCAGGGTGAAAATTTTCATGCTTGTTCTTTGCCAGCTTTGGGGAAGTTTTAAACAAAAACAATCCAGCCTATTTTGCATGAGAGGACAGTGATGATGGTTTCCCATTATTAACAACAACAAACAATCTTGTTACCTTTTCTGAGTATCCCTGCAGCCAAAACAGCTTGAGCTTTGAATTTACAAGTTACCATGGAAATAGCCTTTAGAGAGAAGTCTTTTTTTTCCACGTGAGGGTTATTTCTCTTATTTAGGGAAATGTACATTCCCCCTCGTGAATTTTATGTGCGCAGCAAGGTGATTAAAAATTCCTGTTATTCTAAGCAGAAAGCACAAACTGGAAACTTTCTGATTTGCAGCTGCTTTGCCTTCCCTGCAGTAGCAGTGTTCAGTATCAGTATTTTACGTTCTTCTATAATGTTGAAGATTGAACTCTGCAACCATATTTCAGGTATGTTCTTGTCATTTCTTAATGCCAAGTGAACGTTCAATACAGAACAAGAAAGAAGGGAAGAACTAATCCCTCTCTGCTAACAGGAGCCTGCAGTCCAACGGTCAGATCCTGTAAGGTGCTGATCAGTTCTCTCCAGATGCTGCATGTGCTACTTCCCTCTGACATCAGGTCAGTCAGCACTGTGCTGGGCGTTGGCACCAGCCAGGACTGACCCTAAATAAAACGCAGGGAAATACGGGAGGCACAATGAGAATGCCTTACAGTAACTTAGTTCTTTGCATTTCATGAGCGTGGCTTTTGAGTAAATGCGGCCTCTGAGAAATTATGCAAATACTCTATGATAGATAGCCAGGCATTCCATATAATTTATTTTTACCGTGCTTGATGTGCATCATCAATGCCACCTAGCTCCAGCTGTTTGCTGCAAGGCTCGGGGGGCCCTCTGCAGCTCATTATTCCTCTGAATGTTTCAACACGCGAGGGTGGAGTGAGGGTGTATGGTGCTGGCCGGAGAGCCTCGGAGAATGAAGGTTTCCACTTAACCACTGAACATACAGCAACCTCCTTCTCCCTGATCTCCCCGCTGCCTTTATGCACATTGAAAGATTAACACAAGAGGGAAAGACCTAGTTGAGTGTGAATGTCAAATTGAGAGAGGGTCAAAAGTGAAGAAAGAGAGAATCAGACCTGTCTAAGCAAGGAAACAAGGACCGAGCCGGGGGCAGAGAGTAGGAGGGAACCAGATTTGGGAGACTGAATCATGGTATGAATGGGAGCCTGGTAAGGAAGACTGAGTCAAGACATGTAGGAAGGAGAGCACTGCTCTGGAGACCTGGGCTGCTTGCAGTGTCAGAAAGAGAAAACTAGCTGGAGCATCATGGAGTTCAGGGTAAGCTAGAAAGCAGCTGCTACCCGAGATGGCTGCTTTAAAGCTATTTAGGGACTTCTGTACTTCTGCCTGCCTCACCCTGTGCCATCCAT